GTATTGAATGAAACGTAAAGACATAAAAAGAAAGGAAAACAAGGAAGAAGTTAGTTCGCGTAATGTGTAAATTGTAATAAAGTAGACAAGGGAGTGAGGGTGGGGAGAGACATGATGTAGCAATTATTAAAAAATGTCTGAAGGAAAGCGCATGTTATAACCAAATTGAGCAGAGAATTGCATATTAATGCAATTTAAAATAAAGGGAAAACGGGGAAAAGGGTGTACAGGTAGCAATAAAAGGGAAACGGGAGCGAGATATTCATATAACAGCAAAATAATTAATACACGTTTATCAGAGAAGACTATTTCTTATAGACCAAGTTCGCTATGGTAAGAGCCTAGAAAATATCCCCAACAGAGTCGCCATGCTTTCGCGCCCCTTTTCTCGCGAAATCGGGTTTCGACACGTGACAACTCTTTTAGGAAGGGTTAAAAGAGAAGAGTCGCCACCTAATGGGTTTGAGGTGCGTTAAGGCACCTATTTGCAAATAACTCTGGTTTAACAAGTTTGCGTCACCGAAGATCGGGTAAGGGATCAAATTACCTCGAAGAGAAGGTGTTAGGCGCTCTTTGAGGTCCAAAACTGTGGGTCCCGGCCGAACTCGAATTATATGAATTAGTCAGATAAATGAAGATAGAGAGAAACAAGAAGTTTGGGCAGTTACTATCAAAAATCTACCAATAAACAAAATAATTGATTTTAAGACAAGATGGGAGGGGGGTACTAAGTTTTTTAGCCTAAAGGATCACCCCGTGCAACATAAATAATACTTCGTAACTCCCTCAAGATGGGGTGTTACTCGTATTATTCTATGGACATAGACTATCATCTCCTGCTACCCGATTACTATCTTTTAGTTGTTACCAAAAGCACACTAGTTGATTCTAAACCGTGCCTTATGCGTGCACTACCCGTCCCATGTCTATGGTACAGGAGGCGTTTGGACCTCTATTTTGGATAGTTCTAGACTTAACTTAGGTTGCTCAAAAATGATAAAACTAGGCGACATACAAAAACAAGTTGGACTTCATGTAAAAGCAATTAAGAGCTCAAGTTAGCCTCCACAATAAGACAACAAATGCACGCAAACAAATTAGGCGTTTGACAGTTCCAGAATTGAGACGTGTTAAAGTCATTAAGCCCTATAGACATGGTTTCTATGTGACCTAGGAATTCAAACATGCAGACAGTCTCATATGCAAGGTGCCATTTTAGATAAAACTTCTGAGCAACTACACAATTGCCTACTGATTGCAGGTTATAAGCGATTAAACCTATAGACATGCTATCTAGGTGATTTATGCAGTAGTTAGTAGGGATAGCCATGAAAAACATTCAGAATTACTCAGTTTGATCCTATAGGCATGCTTTCTAATAGTGGCAACGGAATAGTGTTGAAAGTTTAATATTAGCACTTAAAAAAGCGAGTGGGATTACCCTATAGGGAGGATTTCTACAATTATCGATTGAACTGTTTTAGCTCTTATAGACATGTCTCCTAAGTGAATAATAATAACAATAGCACATTAACCAATTAAAACCCTATAGGCATGCTTTCTAAATTGCAGATTTGCAGAACATAAACTAACATAACCCTATGGTCATAGTGCCTAACGAATATGCTGTAATGCAAATTGAAACATTGGTCATTTTATTTCCTATAGGCATGATATCTAACAAACATGTAGAAACAGAATATGTTAAACGAATTAAACACTCAAGTCCTATAGGCAGGTTATCTAACATACATAGTAGCAGAACATGTTCGAGCAAATTATACACCTATAGGCAGGATTTCTACCCGTTCATTCAAATAATTTGAATAAACCCATTTTCCCAATTTTACTAACACCCAAGTGTTATTATAACATTATTACAGACCCAATGAGTGAAATAAACTACAGAATTACAAAATAGCTATAGTGGGCCTAAGGCGGGCCCAATGTATACCCAGCCTGGCCAGGCTTTCAATATCATATCCAACAGGCTTCAACATAGCCCAGAAACAATCTTCCTAGCCAAAACCCAGTAGCTAGAGCTAATCAATAGCCATGTACACAAACCAACTGGTTTATCCAGTAGGTGAAAAGGGGTGCAAAGTTGAGCAATTAGGAAAAGTGGCAAAGAACCTTGGACCCTAGCGCGTCAGAGTTCCCAATGGCTTCAAGAACCCAGGGCAGTGCTCACACTAGGGAGGTTGATATAGGAGACTTAGGGGGGAGGGCTTTGGCTTTCAGCCAGCCCTAGAATTAACTTATGACAAGAAACAACAGTGAAAATAATAGTAAAGTAGTAGGTTTGCGCAACCGGAAAATGCAGAGGAACATGGATTAAACCATGTAATCAAAACAACACTAACTAAGCATGCTTTATTCTGTTTAAATTAACTAAGTTAGGTGCAAAGACATCATTAAGCTAGCAATTATAGGCAGAATTAAACAGGAAAAGAGTCAGGAGAACATATTAGATCATGCAATTCAGAGAACATGCTAATTAGAACGTAATAAACATTATGAAGGTTAGAAACTAACCAGTGATTGTTCAATAAACAAGAAAAGAACTACAGTAAGGATCCAGAGTCTCGAATGTGTCAAGTTGCAAGGGTTTTAAGAACCCAGTGCAGTGCTCACACCCAAGAGAGGTCGAGAAAAGTAGAAATCCGATGGCCTTGGCTTTCAGCCGTCCAAAAGCCAAACATAACAGAGTAGTAAGAAAATACAGAATAGAAACCTTAATTTTTGGAGAAAAATATTGATTCAAGTTCTGTCCAAAAAGGGGAAGGGGAATGGGTTTTTATAGTAGCAAAATAAAAAACACAAACAAGGAAAAACAACCAATCAATCTTAAAAATAGGAAAGAATATCATGCGAAATTGATTCAGAATCAATTTAGGAGAAGTAGAGCAAACCCTAGTTTCTTAGGAAAAACAAATATTACAAGAATATACACGAAAATAGTAACATAGGACGAATATAGACATAATAACACTTAAAATCAGAGAATCCAACCAATTTTTGTTCGATCTAAAGATATCTTAAAATCCTAATTTTAGGATAAGTAAGAATCAATAGAAAATACACAGAGATTCGTACCCATAATAGAACAAAGGATGAATATAGACGGAATAGTAGAAAGGTCAAGGATTTGAATCGATTTTGGTTCGATATTGATGAGATCTGCTTGCCATGTTCAGGCAAGTAGTATAGAAGAGTAACCAGTACTAGGGAGAGGCCGTATATGGCAAAGAATAACCATGGAATCCCATATTCGGTGGGACTAGGAGAGATTTTAGAGGGGCAGTGGCTAGGGTTCTTTGGAGGGAGAAGGGAGGTGAGGATATGACGGTGGTAGACGGTGAGAATGAGGTTAGGGTTAGGGGGTTTGGGTAGTTAATGGGGGTGGTTTAATGTGGGCCTTTGATATCAGAGATCAACGGCCACGATTAGAAGGGAGCTGGGTCGGGTTTGTTTGGACGGGTCGCGACAGGGTTATTGGGTTGGGTTAATTTGGTTTGGGCTGGGGTATTTTGGGCTCGTGTATGGGGTAATTGGGCTGAGGTTTGGGTAGTTTTAGGTCCAAAAATAGGTTTAAAATTAGGCTATAATTTAAATACACAAAATTTAACAAAACATAATTTATAAAAATGCTTAAAAAATAAATAAAAATATTATTTACGTAATAAAATGATTAAAAATAATAATTTAGCCTTATGAAAATATAGAAGGCTATTTTGACACAAAAAGTATAGCTGAAAGCAATTATATATGAATATAGGCTATTATTGCAAAATTAGGTAAATAGCTTTAAAAAATGCAAACATAATTATATGAAATAAAGTAAAAATATTATGAAACATATATGAGGAGCAAAATAGTAATTTAGATGATTAGGTCATCACAAAATAATTTGAAGGAATAATTACTAATTATTCAAGTATTTTAAATACAGAAACAATCAATTTAGAGCTCTAAAAATTATGAAAAATTATAGGAAATGCTTGTATTGATTTATAAACTAAATAATAATGCCAAAATGATGTTTTGAAAGTATATATATATTTTGAAAAAATATGGGGGCAAAATTGGGTATCAACAGTCAACCAATTTTCCGGTGGAAATTTCATGACAACGCCGTATGCGGAAGCTTGTGAGATTCTTGATTAAATTGCGGATACTTCATCGGCATGGCAAAGTAGAGCAAACGTTCCTCAAGGCAATCCAAATGTGATTCACTGGCCTAGAGAATTACATGATCATGGGCAAGCGATTGTCGAGTTGACCACCACAATGAATCAACTAGCCAAAGCTCAACTTCAACAAGTGCAAGGTCCCAAGCAAGTAAATGCAATGGAAGTAGTTAGTATGCTGGTAAACAAGAGAAGGAAAAAGGGTCCTCAAGTGCAAGATCGGGTTAAAAATTATGTGCAAGATGATAGTGAATTTGATCAAGATGGACAATACAATGAGCAAAAGGAGGAAGTACAATATGTAAATAACTTCCAAATGCAAAGAAACAACAATCAATGCCCAAATCAATAACAATGGCGACCACAAGAAAATCAAGGAAATTGGAATTCAAACAGTCAAGGTAGTTGGAACAATCAAAACAACCAAGAGAATCGGAACAATCAAAACAATCCAGGAAATTGGAATGGTCAAAATAACTAAGGCAATTAGTGTGGCAATAATCAAGGCTATTGGGGAGGTAACAATCAAGGAGGGTGGGAAAAGAACAACAACCGGGGGACGAGTTTTCAAAGGCCCCCGATGTTTCAACAACCGAGCAACCTGCCTCCTTATCCTTCTCAAGGTACGAGCTCTTCCAACAATGAGATGGGACGAATTGAGAAGCTCAATTAGCCTCTCACAATACTTCAATTCACAATTTGGAAGTTCAATTGGGCCAAATCTCGCAAGCTTTAAACACTTGTCTTAAGGGGGCACTACCAAGTGATACAGTGGTGAATCCGGAGGGAGGGAAAAACACGGGACATGCCATGGCCGTGACTACAAGGAGTGAAAAAGGTGGGGATGCAACCACCTCAAGTCAAAAGAACATTGTGGATGATGAACAATTGGTACAAGGAGATGAGATGCCAAGCAATGAAGTGCAAGCAAATGATGAGGTGAGAATTGATATTGAAGACCATGTGGAGGAGAATCAAGAAGAAGTGAAACCGTCTAGGGAGCACATTGTTGACATATCGGAACTGGTAGTGCCAAAGGCTAAGGCACCAATGCCAAGGCTTCCTCCTCCGTATCCTCAAAGGCTTGCCAAGCAAAATGGTGAGAATCAATTTAAAAAGATCATTGACATGATGAAGAGTTTTTCTATTAATGTGTCGTTGGTTGAGGCCTTGGAACAAATGCCGGGATATGCAAAGTTCATGAAGGACTTGGTGACAAAGAAAAGATAGATGAATTGTGAGACTATAAAGATGACACATCAAGTGAGTGCAATTGTGCACTCAATGGCTCCTAAATTGGAAGATCCGGACGCTTTCACAATCCCATGCACCATTGCAAGTGCCGACTTTGCCAAAGATTTATGTGATCTTGGGAAAAGTATCAACTTGATGCCCTACTCTGTTTTCAAAACTTTGGAGATTGGGCAACCAAGACCCACATCTATGAGGTTGAAAATGACGGATTGTACAATGAAGAGACCTTTGGGTATTATAGATGATGTGTTGGTTCGAGTTGACAAGTTCATCCTCTCGGCGGACTTTGTGATTCTTGATTGTGAAGTGGACAACGAGGTGCCTATTATTTTGGGTTGTCCTTTCATTGCTACGGGGAAGGCTCTTGTTGATGTGGAAGCCGGTGAGCTCACTTTCCGGGTGGGTGATGAAAATGTGATCTTCAATGTATGCAAATCTATGAGGCAACCGAATAGCAATGAAGTTTGTTCGTACGTGATTGGGTGACCGATGTGATTATTGATGATGCTAGTGCCACAATGAATAGTGAGGATAATTTGGAAGCTGTTATGCTCAACCTTGATAATGATGAGGAGAAAGAAGGCTATGTGGAATGTGTGAATGCGTTGCAAGGAATGGGGTTGTAAACTTATGAACCGCGCAAGTTATCCTTGGATCTTTAAAATCGGAAGACTCCTCCAACAAGCACTCAATCGAGGAGCCTCTCACTTTGGAGTTAAAGCCATTGCCTCCGTATCTCAGGTATGAATTCCTTGGCCCTTCTTCTACTTTACCGGTTATTCTTTCCTCTTGTTTGACTAACATGCAGGTAGAGTCCACATTGGAGGTGCTACAAAAGAGGAATAGAGCAATTGGATGGACATTGGCGGATATTCGAGGCATAAGCCTCGCCTTTTGCATCCACAAGATTATTTTGGAGGAGGATGCCAAACCCTCCGTTGAACATCAAAGGAGGCTAAATGAATCAATGCAAGAGGTGGTCAAGAAGGATATCATAAAGTGGTTGGATGCCGGGGTTGTTTACCCTATTTCCGATAGTTCATGAACTTCTCCGGTGCAATGTGTCCCAAAGAAAGGGGGCATGACTGTGGTTACCAATGACAAGAACTAGTTGATTCCTACAAGAACGGTGACCGGTTGGAGAGTGTGTATGGACTATCACAATCTTAACAAAGTCACAAGGAAATATCATTTCCCACTTCCCTTCCTTGATCAAATGCTTGATAGGTTGGCCGGCCGAGCTTTCTATTGTTTCCTCGATAGGTGTTCCGGCTATAATCAAATTCTTATTACTCCGGAGGATCAAGAAAAGACTGCTTTCACATGTCACTATGGTACTTTCACATTCTCCCTGATGCCATTTGGGTTATGCAATGCACCGGCGACTTTTCAATGGTTTATGTAGGCTATTTTCACCGACATTGTGGAGGATATTCTTGAGGTCTTCATGGATGACTTTTCCGTGGTTGGGAATTCCTTTGATGATGGCTTGAACAACTTGGATAAGGTTTTCGCAAGATGTGAGGAGACAAACTTGGTATTGAATTAGGAGAAATGTCACTTCATGGTCGAGGAAGGCATTGTCCTTGGCCACAAAATTTCAAAGAATGGTATTGAGATTGACAAGGCCAAAATAGAAGTGATTTCTAAACTTCCGCCCCCTACATCCATTAAGGGAATGAGGAGCTTCTTGGGTCATGCGGGGTTCTATCGCCATTTCATCAAGGATTTTTCCAAAGTGGTGAACCCCTTGTGTAAACGTTTGGAGAAGGATGCCAAATTCCATTTCAATAAGGATTGCATGAAGGCATTTGAATTGTTCGAGTTCAAATTGACAACTACTCCTATTATCACCGCACCAGATTGGAGCTTGCCTTTTGAGCTCATGTGTGAGGCAAGTGATGTGGCGGTTGGAGCAGCTTTGGGGCAACGAATCAACAAAATCTTTCATCCGGTCTACTATGCTAGTAAGACCATGAATGCTGCCTAAATCAATTACACACTAACCGAAAAAGAACTACTTGTTATTTTCTTTGCTATGGAGAAGTTCCGCCCGTACTTGATTGGTACAAAGGTGATTGTACACACCGATCATGCGGCGCTTCGGTACTTAATGAGCAAGAAGGATTCAAAGGCGAGGTTAATGCGGTGGGTGCTTCTATTACAAGAGTTTGATCTAGAGATCCAAGACCGCAAAGGTAGTGAAAAATCAAGTGGTGGACCACTTGTCTCGATTGGAGGAGGAAGGGAGGCCATATGACGGCCTTGAGATCAATGATTCCTTCCCCGATGAGCAGTTGCTAGACATTTCAATGACCGAGATGCCATGGTTCACCGACTTAGCAAATTATCTTGTGAGTGGCATTGTACCAAATGAGTTCTCTTCAAACCAAAGGAAGAAGCTCAAACGGGATTGCCTTGACTATTATTGGGATGAACCGTACCTCTTCCGGATTTGTATCGATGGTGTGATTTAAAGATTCGTACCGGAGGAGGAATAAGTGAGAATTCTCGAGGATTTCCACTCTTCACCATATGGTGGTCACCATGGTGATGCGAGAACGGCGACAAAAGTGTTGAGTTGTGGATTCTATTGGCCTACTCTCCACAAGGATGCTAGTGAGCTTGTCAAGCATTGTGATGAATGCCAAAGGGCCGGTGGAATCTCAAAGAATAATGAAATGCCTCTCACCACCATTTTGGAGATAGATATTTTCGATGTGTAGGGTATTGATTTTATGGATCCGTTTGTTAGCTCTTGCGGAAAAACCTACATTCTAGTCGCGGTTGATTATGTGTCTAAATGGGTTGAGGCCGTTACTTTTCCCAACAATGAAGCGAGGAGTGTGGTGGAATTTTTGAAGAACAACATCTTTACAAGATTTGGTACTCCAAGGGCTATCATAAGCGATGGGGGTTCGCATTTTTGCAACAAGGCTTTCGATACCTTAGTCACAAAGTATGGTGTCACACACAAAGTCTCGACCCCCTATCATCCTCAAGCAAGCGGATAAGTGGAAGTCTCCAACCGGGAGATCAAGAGTATTTTGTCAAAGACAGTGAATGCCAACCGGATAGATTGGTCAAGAAAGCTTGATGATGCTCTTTGGGCATATAGGACGGCTTACGAAACACTGATTGGGATGTCTCCATACCGGTTGGTGTTCGGGAAAGCTTGTCACCTTCCAGTGGAACTTGAGCATAAGGTCATGTGGGTATTGAAGAAGTTGAACCTTTAATGGGATGTTGCCGCGAACTTAAGGGTGGCACGATTAAATGAGCTAGATGAATTCCGGTACCATGCCTACACAAGCTCGTCTATATACAAGGAGAAGATGAAGTACCTCCATGAAGAGTACATTCGAAACAAGGAGTTCAAAGAAGGTGATCTTTTGTTATTGTTCAATTCCCGATTATGGATGTTTCCAGGAAAGTTGAAGTCTAAATGGGGTGGCCCGTTTGAAGTTGTTGGTGTGACACCATTCGGAGCATTGGACTTGAAAAATAAGAATGATGAAGTGTTTAGGGTCAATGGACACCGGGTGAAGCACTATCTTGGAAAAGTTGATGATGGCCACGTGGTGGCGGTTCTTCATTTCAAGTGATTGGTAATCTGCGTCATGCCGTGACATTAAATCATGCACTTCTTGGGAGGCAACCAATGTGTATTTTTCTTTTTCTTTTTCTTCTTCTATAGACATCTCTTATTTTGTGCTAACTGGTTTTGAAGTGTATGCAGGAATGAGTGTGCTTTGCGGGGACTGTGTCCAGAAAAAAGTTTCTAGGTATAGAAATTGTGCGGACCACACAAAATTGAGTGCCACAGCATAATAAACTCTGCGGTTGCACAATTATTGTGCAAATCGCACAACTGGAAAACCAAAAATGCTCACTATATGAAGTTTGTCTATCAGATAAATGGCCAATCTGCGGCCGCACGTGGAATTGTGCGGTCCGCAGAAATATCTGCGGCCGCACCCAATTTTGTGCAGACCGTAGATTTTCACTGAAGGACTATGGTACCAGGTAAATAGTGCGGACCGCACAGAAAACTGTGCGGCCGCACTTAGCTTCAAATTTTTACCTGATTTGGTCAACCTATAAATAGGGCTTCCTCACACTGTTCCAAACTTTACGCACTCCGAAATTTTCACACAAAAATAAGCACAGTGATTTCATCTGAATCATGTTTCTAACTCTCATTTCATCATCTTAATCTATTCCTTTCATCACTACATTATTGGTATGTTCAATTCATCCTTTGATTTTTCACTTTTTCTTAATTTTTGTTCATAAGTTAGTTTGGTTATTTTGAGCCATAATTGCAAAATTCAAAATCATGTGAGCTTATTTCATGTGGGTAACTTCATACTTGCTAAATCGGGGATGGGTAAACTAGTTATTATGATTAATTAGCATTACCTTGTCTAAGTTTTGCGTAGAAGCTAGAATCCCAAAAGTTACTGCCGAGATCTTTTTGAATTGTGCGGCCGCACAAGAAATTGTGCGGTTCGCAGATCCCTCATTTATGGAAGTTGTTATGAATTGTATGTGCGGACCGCACTCAAAATTTGTCGGTCTGCAGAAATTGAACTGCGGCCGCAGATCGACCAATTCTCTAACATCAGATAGTTGCTTGTTTGATGCTAGAATTGTGCGGACACACTCAAAATTATGCGGTCCGCACTTCAATTGTGCGGTCGCACAAGAATTGTGCGGACCGCAGAATCAGGGCTGCAGCCGCACTTCAAAATTGTGCGGTCCGCACTTGCCTTTGTGCGGTTGCACTCACTATTGTGCGGACTGTACTTCTTGACCCAGCTTTTATTTCTCCTGCAACTGTTTTACACTGTGAAGTTGGACTTAACTGAATCCTGTTCTATGAATTGCAAACAATGGTGAGATCTCGTGGTAGAGGTGATACATACAAAGGGAGGGGTGAACCCTCCCGAGACCGAGGCAAGACCTACAACTCTCTGTCCAAAAAGTCATAAACAAGAAGGCAACCGCCAACAGCGCCCCGGAGCCTGTAGAGTCCAGTGAATATTTCTCGTCTAGGGAAGCCTATGCAAGAACAACCTGATGCACAATCTCAACAAAAACAGTTTCCGGGTAGACTTCAACTGAGAGATGAGCCTTCCTCCTCAGCTAGCTCTTCTGAGGGTTCGGAAGAGGATAGCCAAGATTCAGAGCCTTCTTCCTCACATGCCCCGGCAGCACTTATCCCAGTTGACAATGATGATGATATGCTTGATGATGGTCGAGGGGGTGATAGCCGAGTTGCCAGCCTAGAGAGGTCGAAAAAGAAGAATGTCTGGGAAGACAGATTCGTGAGCCTGAAAGCTTTCAACAGGTTCCAAGAATGGTGGACCCAAAGATCGCTCACTCTTGAGCCTAAATTTGAGTTGAAGGATTTGGACAAATACAATCCGAACGTGGCAAGACAATTCCGGGAGAGAAAAAGGTGGACATGGTTCACTCAAAGCGTGGTGGACGCCAAGGAGCACTTAGTCCGGGAATTCTACGCCAATGTGGCGCACGTCAAAAAGGGGACTAAGTTAACAAAAGTGAGAAATTTGAATGTGAGATTTGATCAAGCATCACTCAACAATTACTTGGGGCTCAA